AGCAAGGAAGTAACTCTGAAATTATCCCATCAGTAAGATTAGGTCCACATTACTCAAACACACTTTTCCCTCCACACAGCTTAAAGAAACCCCTCTTTAAAATGTGAGAAATCACTTAATGCTTTCAAACCACTGCTAACAAATAACATGAGCTCAGGCATGAGTTGACAGCTGCTTGTTCATTAGGTGTAATGGAACATAATTTCTTCTGATGCTGCTTTATTCATGATGGAGGTTTTTGCTAACTTGCTCAGGAGAGGACTCAACAGATGACTCAGGTGATACAAAGAAATTGCAGATCTTTTAGAGAACCAGGATGCTCCACAATGAAACTTTCAGCATTTATTTTCCCTTGCTGCCACAACTCTCAGTGACACCAGTGGAAYTTCACTGCAGACATATAAATCTGACACGCTGATACACGTAGTATTTTCACCACCTTAAACATATGTGTATGATATAGTCTGTAAGAAAGACTAGCACTTTTTAACAGAAGACTGATTTTCCTGGAACATTACTCGCAATAAAAATTTACTGTCTTTGCAAAACATGGACCTGCTGAAGTCATGCCACACACCTTACAGGCAAGGTCGTTTTTTACTCCTGGTCAGATGCTGCCTGACCTGTCATTAATATAACAGCAAATCTATGTAATCTTGCCTGTAGCATAACATTCCTTACAGAAACACTTAATTTCCCAAAGCAGCCATGGCATTTTCATTAGTGCGACTTCTCCTGTTCATTCAAAAAGTCACCACAAATCAACAGCTAAGTAAGGKCAGACAGAGTGTTATGACCAGGCTGGAAAACTCAGAGTATACAAATGTTATGCCTATSCTCAGCAGCAAAATGATGGTTATTGTTGGAAAGTTTTCTGTTCTAGTATTGGAATGTTCTAATTTTCAATGATAAAGGTCTACATAAAGCAACTACTGGAAAGGTAGAAAGTTTTTCTAACATTCCTAATTCATCTGGGACAAACCCCCATCATCTCTGAGGCAACCACACTGTTTCCTARTCACAAGGGCATTCTACTTGACTAGTGGACTGAAAAAGATAGTGTCTCCAGGTATTATTTAGAAAGCAGCTTATAAAAACAACTCAGTAATACACTGAGAACATGAGTTATTATTAAGATCATGCTGAGGTTTGGAAAGCTTAGTGACCTATTCTACTTTCAGAATATATGGAGTCTAAATATCTTGCCACTTTCATTTACTAATTGCATTTTTGTCACRATTTCTCTGAAGAGTTACAGATTTCTTTAAAGAGCTACATTTTTGGATGTACTGTCTGATAATTACAGTGTAAGTTTCATGCCCTTTTCATCTAAGGGAAGTCTAAGGGAGGAAGAAGACAGCAGGGAATTGAAGGCCTTTAGACACAAGCAGAAGTCTCCGTTGCAAGAGAAAGGAGAGCTCTGTTTCACCTGCTTTAATGCATTCCAGAAACTGTACTAATGCCAAAACCTTCTCCAGTATTCCTGAACAAAACACCATATAGATTCTCTTTTTTTAATGCATTATTATTTCACTATACTACCTCATGCTCTCACAACCACCAAGCACAACCAGTATTCAGAAAAAAAGAACAAAGACACTTCAGTTGGGCTTCTCTTTTAAATGTAAAGGTTTAAATGAGAAGTGGTGGGAGGATTCAGAAAGAAAACAACAGTATGACCTTTGCTCTTTGAAGCTATTTAAACAAGTTGCTGACCTGTAGCTTATGCACTTTCGGGTTCTGGTAGATCTCCTCTCAAGTTTTGATTTGGGCTTTTTGGAATCTTTCTTCTTTTCTTCCTGACCTTCAGGTATTTCTGGTTCCTGTTCAGATAAGACACAAGTGTCAAAAAGCTTTATCTCCTCCCTCCCTTTGCACCCATTATTACTGAACTCATGTGATAAAGATTATTCAATCCATCTGGGAAGCTCATATGCCCAACAYAGCACATTTTAACTTCTAATACAGTGACTTATTACAGCAATTCAGGTGAATTTGCACATTCTGCCCTTCCTACATAATTTCCAAAGAGAGTATTTAAGGGTTTGGGCTATTGGTTCGTTGTGTGCTGCAATGCTGAGATCATGCCTCAGGTGATACTTCCAGGGCAAGCAAATGTAGCATCTGAACAAACTGTGGCTACCACCTCTACATACTGAGCAATGATACCTTTACACAGTGCAGTTTCAATAMAGTTTCATGCAGGTTAGTTTTACTATATTGTTTGCAAGTTATTAATTTAAAAGTCATGCACCCCCAGGCTGCATTTCTCAAATATTTGCTCTCAGCCATAGACTCTTCCACAAGTTTGTAAAATTTGTTATCATTTTTCTGTTATCCAGAGACAGGGAGAAAAAGCTGGCCTTGTTACAGCCAGGCAGAGTGCAAAGTCTATGTTTAGAATGAATAAAAGTTCAATTTTAAATTGCACAGAACAGATTATTTAATTTTGGATGAAGGCATTTGGCTAAGACTTCCAGATACTTGGTTTATAATGTATTTAAGTGAGAAGAGGCTGTTCTCCATGTGAATCAAAGCATTTTTCCTCTTTTCTCAAGGGAAGCCATATAAAAACATTTGTTAATGAAACACTAAATAGTTACKGTTTTTAATAACATGACCTTAACATCCACTCCTTGAAGGCAAATGCTATGCTGCTAAGAGATACTGCATATTCCCTCTGAATCATAAGCCAGAAACACTTGTTTCCACCACTTCCAAAGGAAAGCCAYGACAATAAGCTCAGACCCAGATAACTGCACAGCAAACATCAGAGTTAAATAACTAATCCCACCTTTATAAACTACTGAATGCTGGAGCACTCAACTCAAAACCCAGTTGTAATGGACAGGAAGGTGGTTCTGCAATCACTCACTGGCAGAGGATTGTGTGTGGGATCAGGTGGCTCTTAATAAACACCTTAAAGTTCCCTTGGTTTCTCTGCTATATTCAGTCTAAAATGAAGGGTCTAGAATTATTTCTGATCTGCATATATATTTTTTTTTCTTTCCAAGATGTTACTAGCACCTCTGACACACCACTGAGAAACTTCTTCCCTGAGAAGTCTGGAAAATAAAGCAATAACGCYACACAGACACAGAAGCTTACCTGAGGTGGAATGATGTTCTCAATACTGATACCCACGTACACCAACCGCTCCTTTCTTAAGGAAAGAAAGAAAATGAAATTAAGCTTACAGAAAATCTGCATGTATCTAAAATAATGCTGTAATTAGCATCATTTGAAGCTTCTTACTATTGCTACACAGAAACATCCCAAGAGGACATTCCAAGTGAACCAGTCACTGAAGTTGGGATTATGTGCTAATTCTCATGTGATTACATTTTCCTGCATGTATAATGTGAGAGATTTCCAAAGACTTCTGACAATCAACAGTACTTGAAGATTGTGGGCACCACAAAAATTATAGAATTTGGGGGGTAAAAAGCAAGTAAAAATCAGCTGAAAAATATTGATGCGGTGATGAAGATTATGTTGTCAGATCCAAAACTACCACCARTCTTGGAGGGTAAGATAAAAAGGRAATTCAAAATCACACTGAACTGGGAAAAATATGTAAAGAGAGGAGGCAATCCAAAATAGATGAGTGCCAAATCTTAGATCCAAGCAGGAACAAGCAACTCAAGAAACACCAAGGAACAAATAACTGCCTACAGAGCAATTGTTTGCCAGAGAAGAAGAGCCTGAGCAAAGATCAGCAGAGTCAAGCTGCTGCACAAAGAACTATGTGAACAGATGGATGTGTGAACAGGAAAACAGTTGMCAAGGCATCTGAAGGACACCTGCCATGGCAGTCAGCCCTGTTCATGCCTGGCTGGAATATTTTGAGCCATCTTGGTACCACATGTAGTCCAAGAAATGTGTGGTCCAGCTGAAGAGTACAGAGCTACCCAGTGGGAGTTACTGGGAGACATGCCCTGTAGATAAGGGCTGAAAAAGCAGAATACATCTGTGTCAAGAGCACTGGACCAAACCAAAGATGGGAGAGAGAGAAGTACTCAAATACAGGAACAACTCTGGTAAGGAGGAGCAGGCTGTCCTCCTTGACCATGGTGTGTTGCAGGATTAAATCTATTTGAGCAAAATTCAGTTTAGACTTTGCTTGCCTCAAGATAAGCTTCCTGTGTCATCTAAATTGCCTCAGGGACAGTTTTGGCTCCGGAAGGACACAAGTTTCCTGTAAGTCCAGCTGTACCTGTCAGTCTCAACTAGAGATGGATTTCCTAACACTTCACAAATAGCACTAGATGCTGATCTTCATGGTRTTGAACTGAGCATTCAAAAAAGCAATCTGTCAGGAAGAACAGCCAAGTACTAACACAGACCACCACCACAGATCCCCACTAGCYTTTTCCTAGGAAAATAAGGGATATTTTAAACAAATTAAGAGCACAATGAAAGTTGATGGCATTTACTGGTGTCTCTGGAAGGACTCTGGGTTTTTGAACTGGAGTGTCTTAATCAACCAGAATCAGACTACTGAACTTACAGGGAGTGCCTGTATGAGCATGTCACACTATATTTTACTTGCAACAGGATGCATCATGTACATAACWGCAAAAATGCCCAAGAAATGTATTAATTTTTTAGATACATTTACTTCATTGTATAATGTTCGGCAAATATTAGCAGCCACGTATAAAAATGTTGTTTCCAATAGACTCTTTAGAACTTAATGAATGTAAGTAAATTTTGAAAGTCTTTTGACTAGCCTTCTACACTMTACATTCTGGCATACTCTTTTCTTAAATAAAATGAAAAAGCAGAGTTCCTAAAGTAATACTTATAAAGAGTAAAAATGGATTTTAGGTTGTTTTACAGTTAAAAAGACCATGGACTTTGAAAACTCGGTACCATTACGCCTACTGAAATGACTGGTGGTCTATAAAAGGAATTGGTTTTGTATCCTGATGTAAATGCTCCTAACTGACAGATGAAAAAGAAATCCTCATCCACTTGGGCACCAGGAGATTGGCTGGATAAGGAGGAAGGATGCTGTGCAAAGTCACTATGCTCTTGAAAATGAATTAAAATAATATTTTAAGGCAAGGAATGCAAYTGATGAAATGAGAAAGGAACAAGAAGTGCAAACATTTTCGTATTCAGCAAGTGTCTTTGATAGTTTGCTCAACTTCTCATTTCTTGTAATGCAAAACATCAAGAGACAAGAGATGAGAAAAATTCAGCTGTTTTTGAACATGATCAGCAAGTTTTCCAGTTGAGCTTGAGTATACACTGCTTAAGAAATCAGTCAAGGCGATCCCRCTGAGGACAAGGTCTAGATATGAAACGCAAAATGGTATCAAATGAATTCCTTATTCCTTGTGTGGTAGACAGGAGGTCAAGAGTTTAGCCAAGAGATTAAACACTTGAACCAAGCCATCTCCAAGGGCAGCAGCAGATAAGCACTAACTGGTTATAAAGTCTACTTAGGCAAATTCAAGAAAACATTTTATCTCAATTAGGCAGCAGGAAAAGCTGCTACAGGGAAGTCATGAAAATGTGCATGAAAGCAAGTATTCCAACTGGTCTGGCCTGGGAGAATTAGACAAGTAGTTTCTAGAGGAATTTTCCATAAGAGGTCTGAAAGCATCTAACATGAATTAAAAGGGCAATCCTAAAAAGCTTTAATGTCCACTCCCTCCATCTGCTGGTAGGACGTGATTATAGAAGTTAGTCTGTACATGGGAAACCTGAAATTCAGCCAGGTTGTTGTGGTAGCACCTTGAATTCATGAACAGTTTAGAAAGGGGGAGGGGAAAAGGTATGAWTTCACATGTATTTGTCAGTCAACATGAAACCTGAAGGTTTCATCTAAAAAAATTTGGGACATAACAGTTTAGGGTTGCTCAAGCACATGGCTGAGCAGCTTAATCAGCTTCAGTCAGATTCCTGAGAGCTGGAAAGAACAAAATATGACTACTTCAAAAAGCATGATAGTAACACTGCTTCAAAGAACCTATTAAGGAGACAGATCCATAATGATACAGTCGGATTTCTTCTCTGACAAAAAGACAGACACCAACCACACACTGAGTTTTCAGAAACACTGCCTACAAGTATGTCTGTGCCCCAAACAACCAACTTATACAGTGAGGTGTAATAAGGACTATCACTTCCTCTGGCATTATGATTCTTCAGCCTTTTTACCTTGTTATTTGCTACAATACACCACTAAGTTGTAAAACTTCAATATTCACCTATTATATTGTGAAGTCTATTATAACTCAAGCTTGTTTTTCAGAAAAAACATTAAAAACTAACTAAAATAAAAAACTCAGTTTTATGATATACAATATAAAGCATCAGGTCGATTTGCTATGAGGATCAAATTACAAAGCAAGTTACTAAACATCTGTTTCAGACACTGAAACCCGCTATATCATCAAATGTATGTTCTTCTGTTGCTCTCAGAAGATCATGTTTTTATGCAACACTGGTAATTTCAAGAAAGCAAGAGAGACTGGCAAAAACTTGCGTTCCATGTAATATTTGCCAGCAAAATATTCACCAAAATAGGTCTAAAAATACTGTTCAGTAGTAATGAGCACTGCCACCATAAAGCAAAACAGCAGAGTTCCTGTGTGTCCCATACTCCTGCACAGATGGAGGCTGTGTATATGCTGAGCTCACTCATAAAAACAGMCAATAATTTCACTCTCAAAGCTACAAATTCAGCAGAATTGGCAATGGATAATTTCACCAACACATGAACTAGATATTCTCGGAGCAGATGTAGTCACACTAAGAACAGTTGGTACCTGATCTGTCACTATCATTGCTGCTGTTATAACAGCAATAAAAAACAGATTTGAAGAAAACTGAAAGTAGAAACAGATTGTGCTCYGATCTTCCCAGCACTGACTTGGTATATCTCATGTAATATTACAGTCCCTGCCATAAATTTAAGCCTGCTCTATTACCTTCTGCAACAGGGTCTCACCTTCTGGTGAAGTTTCCCTTTTAGAATAAAATTCATGCAAAGTTTTGTTTAATAATGCATACAGATGTTATTAAATTCTGCACAACACTCAATATATATCCTAAAAGGTATGAATTATGCAGACTGTGTTTCATGCCCCTCATTTTCACATCTGAAAACTGCCAAYAGGATGTTCCAACTATTAAGGCCATTGTTCCTAACCACAGTAAATCCGTTTGCATTTAGCCTTTCATAATGACAGGGGTGGCAGCTGGYTTGAGCAGGGTGATAATAATGCCAAGGTTTTGGGTTCAATTCCTGCATGGGCCATTCACTGAAGAGTTGAACTGGATGATCYTTGTGGGTCCCTTTCAACTCAGAATACTCTGATTCTGAAGCTTCACTGACCCCACTGCCCTACAGCAATTGCTGCATAGTCTTGTACATTTGGCAGAGTTTAACAGAATCTAAAGCAACAATACTCAAATCCCACARTAATCGGGATGACTTTTGGAGTGAAGTCAAGACTTAACCTTGCTTACAGCAGGAACTCTGCATTKGACTGACACACGCATGGTTAGTATAGCCAACACATGCAGCTGACCCAGTGCTGGAAAYCCTTTAACTACTGGTGTAAGAAAGTGAAATGTGTTCAGGCATTTCAACAGAAGTTTAGTACAAATATATTTATCTTTTTCAATTATTRGACTTGTCCTCACTTCTTGCAGGCAGGCCCAGCACCAAGTCACCAATAACCCATGGGCAGTCAAAACTTATCTTACCAATTCCCAGTCTCATCACTGCTTTTCTCCCCAGTCCCCAGTTACTTTAATRCTTGCTCAGTTATTACCACACCCTGCACAGCAGCTTGTGAGTAAAATCAAACAGTACCTGCGTTCTGCACGCTCTTTCTTCTTTAAGACAACATCCAGATCTTGTAATTGTTCCTCTAATTTCTCACAGAGTAATTTCTAAAGGAAGGAAACACAGTATGTTTATTTCACAGTCAGCTATTTCCCCATTGAACTAACATTCAGACTCTTCATCCACTATGTCTGTATTTGTCTGGAAGAAGGGTGAATGCCTTGCTGCATTGGTGGCTTCTCCTCAATGAATGAGGCTTTACAATAAAGCCCATCCTTTTTTAACATGAGCTCCACTATCAAGGCCAGGTTGAACGGGGCTTTGAGCAACCTGGTCTAGTGAAGATGTCCCTGTCCATAGCAAAGGAGTATGGAACTAGAGGAGCTCAGTGGACACTGTAGCAAAAAGCAGAGAGACACTTTATGATAATTTTCTTACCAAATACTCAAGGAGCTGTCCATAAAAATGATTTCCAATGGACAAATTGTGTGTTATTCCATAYTAATGATATTATTATACTATTTCCAAGAATGATTTTCATCCTTTTACATGTCATTTTTCATATTAAAGAGGACTTAACAGCAACAGAACAAGGCTATGTTCTAGCTACAAGTGCACACAAAACATTCTTACATAACCAAAATCATCACTACTTAAAAACATTTCTCAAAGGACATCTAAAAATCAACATCAAATACAGCCATCTCGCATCATGCCCAAATAYCACTAGCTTATTGCAGGGCAACAGATTGTTTGGCACAGAATTTCTCTAAAAGTAAGGAAGGGGGTTTGGGATCAGGCAGATTATTCTGAAAATGTGCATAAATGGTTTCCCATTAATTTAACCAGAGCAGCATCACACACTGTCTGCTTATCCTCCCAAGTATCAACCCTGCAAATGTTGCTATTTTATATGTACAGTAAATCAAACTGGACACATGCCCAGGTTTTTRGGTTTTTGACAGAAGCTGCTTTTAACCTTGGAAAAAAGTGTTCATACTTGTCTACTGCTTGACTAGAACAACCCTGGCTTTCCCAGCAGAAGCAAACTATACCCTGAGTCTAAGCAGTAACAGCAGCTTTCTCTAACCAGCTTCTGAGCAAATGTCTCTGAGAGGGAATAGCACTTCAGAAACATTTGCTTGCTTTGGCCACTGATCCATCCCTTGCTGCCTACTGCTTCTGCCTCCAGGATGACAAACACAGTGTTTCTTTGGGGAAAAATTAAGACATTGTATCTGTAACACTATATTAGCTTGAGGTGATTCAACCAGATACGGTACATGATCAGTGTGGCTGGAAATTGCCAACAAGTCGGCAATACACAGTCATTCATCACTAGCAGAAAAAAGAAAGAGAAAACCATGCCACAAACTCAGTTTTACTAACAGATGGGAGARAAGATCAGCAGTCCTACCATTCATCCCAGTCTATTTGTTAAGAGACAAAAATATAGAAAGAAGTTGTTAAAGTCCCAGCCAATCTCCAGAACCATAAGCAAAGCTGCAAAGGAGAAGAGTGAAGTCACACAGGAAGCATACATGCTGGCAAGGCGGGCAGAACCACTCTCCATCAGGGATGATCATCAGCGGAGGGCGAAGGCAGGCTGTGTGGTACCCGCTGTCACAAGAGTCACACAACAAAATCTGTGCAAACAAAACATGTTGTGAGTATCTTCTGGCATTCACAATATGTAACAAGCTCCAGAACTATTTCCCCAGCCAACACAGAAGCGCTTTATACTTTGGACTGTGCCAAAACAAAACAAAAAAAAAATCCTGTACCACCTTTCTGGGGCCAAGGGGGGGTTTTATGCGGAAAGTTTATTTATCATGGTTTTCCATGATAACACCAGATTTCCTCTTACTATATCTTCTCTACTTAGTGCTGCTGGGCTATGTAGACTATGTGCCCTTGGTGTAAAATCTGGTAATGCTTTCCAGATCCTAGACTAAGTGGAAAACTCGATCYGAACAAGATGTGGTATGACCTGTTTTCCCTATGCACTCTTATGCAGGAAACCTGGCCTTTTTCCTCAGTCAGAATAATTTTTTGACCTGGGCAGTAGGGACAAAGTCTTGCAGGCTCCTAGGGGCATTTAGARCTAGGCAACTATTAAGAGTTCATACTTAGTTGGATAAAATTTGACATCTCCTTTTCTATAGAAGTGAAGAACAAAGCTGGCATCCCCTGTGTGTATATCTACTGAAATATTTATCTCTAACATCCTAAAGATTAAAAAGGTCAAACTTTCTCTCAGCTTTGCCAGGATATCTGTCGAACACCCAAGAGTGGGCTTCTTCTGTGGATACAYATCAGGACTGCACATGATGATTTCCCAGATAAACAGAGGAATTCATGATGATGTCCACCACAAATAAATGAGAACCATGAAAAACAGCAAAATCTTGTTGTGCTCTGTCTGCGATTTTGCCGTACATTCTCAGGGTGAGATGCAGCTACATCCAAGGAAGATGACTGTGAAGCTGTGGCTATGTCCTAAGACACTGGAAAGCAGACATCACACTGCTGGGGTTCTTTCCTCTGTATTCACTGCAACTACAGGCAAAGCCTCACACAGGCTGATTCTCAATGGGCTAAGGTGTGTTATACCTCATAAAAAGTATTTATTTCCATGTTGGCAAGCAGGAAAAATAACTAACTCACATCCTTATGAAAGGTAACTCATCTACTCTCGTGAGTTTATCACCTAAAATCTAGAAGATATTTTCCTGCATACACCTATCCTGAAGGATGATATGCCTTCAGATACCACCAAAGCCAATCCACCAAATCTGACACAACAACCCGCAGAAGTTTTCCCCAAACACCCACCAGCTCAGGATGATTGGGAAGGCCACACTTCTTGCATGGCTCATCGTCATCAGCAGGTGGAGCTTCTTCTTCCTCCTCTTCCTCCTCTTCTTCCTCCTCATCAGAGTTTTTTTCACTCTCAGAGTCCTCAGTCTCTTCATTACTTGAGTACTTCCACCTGCCACGTGTCCGTGTACCCGTCCACCGAACTTTGCTTCGCTRTAAGACACCATTTCAAAGGAAAAAATGCAAAGGAAGCTCAGAGAATTTCTTCCTAGATCTTAAAAAATACTTGTCTTCAGAGTGAAGTGATTCATTTCAGTCAGAACAGCTGCAGTAAATTTACAGCAGAGCATTTCAATTAACATAGTCTTTCAAAGATCCTTAAAATGCAGCCAGATAAAGGGAGAAAAACCTGCATCTATGTGCAGAAAGTAATTTTCAAATAAGATTTRAAAGTAGGAAGACAAATTTTTCCACTCAGCCCCTTTATTTCTATTTTGACAAGGCAAACATTGTAGTGAACATGGTAAATTCCAGATTTAAACTTTCTGACTCGTTCATAACTTACCTCAACCCAAAGAGAATCTTTTTTTCTCCCACCCAACCCCCAAAAAAGTATAACCATTTTATTTTACTTCAGAAAATGTGTTTGTTTCTGAAATAATGATTCAATTGGTGCTTCTCTTTTGCTACTCAAAGGGGCTTCTACCCCTATTGATCTCATATTTTGAATGAAATACCGTATTTGAATATATATATTACCATATCTTGAATGAAAAACAGKTTTCAATTAAAATTCAGAAGATATTCTGAATTATTTTAACTATTTTGTACAACTAAGRTATTTTAGATTTAAAGCAATATGTCAAACAGAAGGAACTTTTATTCCCATTGATTGACTTATTGACACCCATCATTCTCTCAGTACTCATTACCTCCATTCCCTACCGCCACTGAAAAAGGAAAATAACTTTCCCAGCCTTTTCAATTCAAAATATTTTTTCAATTTTGACTAAACTACTCACAAACCTGAGTARACTGAATAAACCAATATGAACAATATATTCTATTTCTCCTGCAGGATAGACTTGTACCAAAGCTGTATTTGCCATATTGGTAATATTTTGTTTCAGGTTCTTGACATCACTGTCTACCAGTTTAGAGATGCAACTGCTCCCTAAGCTTTAGTAGCAAAGGTACTTCAAATCCATGATAGTCTAAGTTTAGGTTTAGGATTCACATTATACACTTTGTAATTTCCAATTGTTTTTTTTTTAAGACTTGTCTTTAAAAAGAAAAGGAACCCCAAAATATAAATTAGGCCRTTAAAGATTCTGGTATTTTTCATTCTGTTTAAATGACAGAAGCTTAACACAGRAGCTTTGAACTCATTCCTCTATCATGATTATTTTAAAATCTCTCTAGATAAGTAAACGTCTCTAGATCTCTTGATCTTTCACAAATAGAAATCAAGTCAAAACACCTGTAGCAACAGTAGTTCCAAAATCTAATGACTTTTAGAACTTACTTTTATATGTTTTCATTTTTAATTAGAATTTGTTTCTCATTTCTTCATGTATGTGACAGAGTATTTCAGTATAGATGTTACCATTCACTGAAAAATGAACTGCTGGTTCAGTTTTATTCAGGTTGCCCAATATAGCAGTATGTGAAAGAAACTTGCTAAATGAGTGAATGCTTTGGCAAAACTACAGAATTGGTTAAAAGAGTATTGCAGTGAAGCATTTTACAAGCTGATATAAAAAGAGTGCACTTAAAAATACAAACTTGTTATTCCTCTTTTTTTTTTTGTACTCCATGTCGAGAAAAAACAGAACATAAATKAATAAAAGGTTATTTATAAGCACACAGTCTCAGAAGCACACCATACAAAGTAGTTTAACTTTCTGTCACATATTTTATCTCAGGTACTTTTAAAGATCTATCCTGCATTAACAGAAGTTAATTATGAAAAAAATACCTCCATCAACATTACCTCCATCCCATATGTGAGAAAGGCTAAATTATAAAATCAATTCACCACAACAATACCTTTCACGTCACTAGAAACAGAGCTCATATTATTTTTATTCTTCATCATTCGTTGCTTCCTTTTTATCTTATGATCATCCTGACCAACCAGACACCAACAAGTATCCCTCTAGKAAATCCCAAAGGAGTTACAAATCTCCAGCCACACAGCCTCACATGTGATCATGTCCATTTTTAGAAGAATTCACTCAGGTTGATTTGGTCTACTTAGGCCAGTTTAACTGACAGATTTTATAAACTGTCAAAGTTTAGAAAAAGTCAACTGATTTTAGCACCCTCCTTGGAGGTGTTTTTAAATTGGTCGAGTCCACTAACCAGATTGCAATGCTAGTTTCTGGCAAAAGCTGACCAAAGGAACATAATCCTTCCTCACTCTTCCTATGTAACAGTGTATTTTCCTCATAGATAAGACTGTGGCTTTTCTTTACTCCCARGTAATAAAACTGTATTACCTTGTTAACCTTAGAATTTGTCTCCTTCTCTTGTTTTTTTGCATCTTCTTTTCGTTCTGGTTTTTGTGCTGCTGCAGGTTTCTCCTCTTCCTCTTCAGTTCGCTTTTTCTCAGGCTTCTGATCCCGAGTCTCCACAACTTTCGGAGTAGGCTTGGATATTCTTGGCGATCGCCTTAACGTGCGGCCAATGCTGACCTCTTCTGGCGGTGTTTCTGTCTTTCTCTTCCGACTAGAGATCCTAATCGTTAATTTAATTCCTTCTTTCTGTCTTTCAGAAGTTATTTCTTTATTCTCTGTTGCACAGGTTTCTTCTTCAGAAACTAGCTTATATTTAAATTTGCTTTTAGGTACTGGAGATTCTTTTTTACTCTCTGAGSCGTCCTCTAGATTAGATGTATGAGCATCATCTAATCTCTCTGGCTCTGTTTTGGCAGCTTCTGGCTCTTCCTCTTTCTTTTCAGGGCTAGATTTTTCTTCTACTTTGCTCTCCTCAAGTAGAGCTGTTTTACAATCAGAGTCCTCCTTTTCTGTAACAGGTTTCTCTACTGTAACAGGAGATGTGGATGCAGGAGGTATCTCAGCAGRTTTTGGAGAGTCATTTTTCTCCTCAGGCTCATCTTTACTTTTCAAAGTCTCTTCATCAGGCAGTGCAAGCTTAGGCAGTTCTGCAGGAGTAGATGCATTTGGGGACATTTCTAGCTTCTCTGAACATTCTTTGGGTGGTGGCAGGCTGTCATTTTTAATATCAGTGTCTTGTTTCTCTTCAGTTGTTTTGGCACAGTCTTCAGAGATTGAAGACTCTTCTGCTACCATCTCAGCAGTTTTGCTGTCAAGGGACTCTTTTTCCACAGGACTAGACTCCTCCTTTGAAGGCACTTTCTGATTAGAAACCTCAGAGACCACAGCCCCAGTCTCTTTCAGCACAGATACTGCATTTTTCTCAATCTCACATGTTTTTATAACTGTACTAACAGTATTTAGGGAGTCTGATACTTCTTCTCCACTCTTTCCATTTTTCTCTTTTAATGAGGTGCTGTCTTCTATTGCCGTAGCAGAGTGTTCTGACTTGTTATTTTGTATGACGCTCGGGGTTATTTTTTCACAGCCAACCTCTCCATTTACTAGCACTTTCCCATCAGGACATAAAGCAGTAATTGTAGGGACTCTCTTAAAAGCTTCTTCTTCTGGTTTCCCTTCTTCCTTCAAGACATCCTTTGTTGGAGTAACACATTTACACAGGGGGCCTTTTATTGGACTGTCATAGTCATCTGTCAGTTTGATCTCCCGCTTTTTAAGTGGTATTTTTGCCTGTTGGTCATTTTTAAGTTTTTCACTTTCTTCCACAGATTTCTCCACAATTTCTTGTGGAGTTTTGACATTAACACAGAATTCTAACCTCTCTGGCTCGTGTACTGCTATTTTGTCCATACAACTTTTTACCTCTTTTAGGTCTTTGGGTTCTATTTTGTTTTCCTTCACCTCCACTTTAACAGGCTTGACATTTTCCTTAAAGGAGTCACTTTCTTCCTTGACAGTTTGCTTTTCTTCATTGTGTTCTGGAAGTTTCTCTAATTTCACTATTACTGGCAATTTTACAATTTCTTTTTCTTCCACTTTTTCAATTTTAAGCATATTTTCATCTTTGTCCACAGGGGGAGGAAGGCTTTCTGATTCCACTTTTTCTTCTACCTCCTCTTTTTCTTCTTTGATTTTCAATTGATTTTCTGTTGACAGAGAAAAACACCTGTGAAACAACCAGGGGACCTACAGGATTACAAAGAACTTYATCAAAACAGAGGCATACCTAAAAATCCCAACAGCCCAAGTCTCGCACAAAGGACTCTTCTCTCACTAAATTAGTAGAAATCTGCCTTGTCTAACACTGTGATTAAGTAAGTGGGCTGACAATTTTTAGCTACAGAATCACTCTCCAGTTTAATTATATATAAAGATGAACCTAAACTTCAGAAACTAGCAGCAGAACTCTAGATTTACACTTCTTTCAACAGACATCTTAGCCCCTTCTTCAGTATTACCACAATACTTCCAGAGGATACATCAAATGTAAGCAGAGGCCTGAAGTCTCACTTGAGTCTCTGGACTATTTCAGAAAACAGAACATGGTGTAAGACTCCATGGCCTTCAAGGGAAATTCCTCAGAGAAATGRGTCCCCTGTTTGTAGATGTTTTTATTTCAAGATATACTTAACTAYTGTATTTCAACAGTTCAGAGAAACGACATCCAGCATTATGGCTTACAGCAAAATTCATCCAGGTTCTCCAGGCAGTAATTACATCTCCTGCATACAGATAATACTCTACACTCACTTCATCTGCTGTTTTAAAATAAGCAATGAATAGTAGCATATCCCAGAAAAACCTGTAGAGCCTAAAGAATCAGGTTATTCCACTTTACTAACTCAGTTTTAGGTCATTAAGGTTTGAAGTACAGTTCTACCACACAGAATAAACCATACAGATATTTTGTCACTATGAACCTAAGCTTGTTATTTATTATTACCACAGCCTCTTGATATCTCAATATACAAAATCTTTTGTATTTTACCAACCATTTTRTGTCAGCCAGAAATAGAACTAATTAGAAAAAGCAAATACAATAGAACTATATATACCAGAACAGCAGTTCCTGCCACCTGGAAGATGCTTTTGCAAGCGTATCACAATTGCAAACAAATATGTGAGATTTTTTTCCTTCTACCTCACCCCTCTCCATCTGAGCTAGTGTAGTTTTCTTCCATGATGAGAGCTTTCCAAAGTAGTTACCAGTATACAGGGGAAAGGACATGACAGCTAACAATTACATCAAAGAAATYAAGCATTTTAGGAAAGAACTGTGAGAAGGAATTCACAGATCTTGCCTTTGCAAATACAAAGCATGTATCCATATAAATCTCAGTATCAGTACAGTAAACATGTATCTTTAAGGCACTAAAAGSAGTAACATTTTGAAGGCTCAAGGCTAGCTTTTCCCCCTTCATAGAGGTGATCCCCATTTAGAGCCCTTATAACAGCCTCTGCAAAGATACCTGTCTCTAACCGTGAGAATGAGGCATTTTCTGTGTCCAGATTCTTCCACTTTCCCTTCATTAGTGTCTGTCTAAATTTTGTTCAACCATCTCTTYCCTTCACCTACTGCTTTCTCCCAAACTTTGTTAAGGATCACCACAATCCCAAAACTTCTCAATACAAAAAAATCACCAGATGTTTTATAGTTTAACTCCCTAAACTAATAACAAAACATTTCACATACACACAAAATAACTCAGTTGATGTACAAGCTCTCCTGATGCTCCTCAAGTCAATCAATCAGGCCAGTAGAAAACATGTAAGCATTGGGTCAGTTTACCATGTATTTATATGAACTAATTCAATATTACATGACAGCATTAAAATGGTCAAAGCAAACAGGTATCAAGTCTTCCAGTATGTTCTCMCTGCATCTTAGGAGGGCTTTCAGGGCAATCCCTGGACTACAAGAAGAAAATATTACAGCTTCGCAACTGAAAGGCTCTAAGGAATGCAATGTGAATACACTGACAGTGCTCAAATCACTGCAAATGTAAATAATTTCATTATTCATTACATATACAGGACATGGACTTGTAGGAGTGAGTCCGTGAAGATGCTTAAAGGGCTGGAGCACCTTTGTTATGGAGACAGGTTGAGAGCCTTTATTGGATAGCCTGTATTGGATAGCATCTTCCAATACTTAAAGAGGTCCTGCAAAGACTTTGGACAAGGGCATGGGTGACAGGATGAGGGGGAAGGACTAAGGGAAGATTTAAAACGGAGATTTAGATTAGATATTAGGAAGAAATCCTTCACTGTGAGGGTGGTGAGGCAAAGATTGMCCAGCAAAGTTGTGACTGCCCCRTCCCTGGGAGTGTTCAAGGTCAGGCTGGATGGGGCTCTGAGCAACCTTATCCAGTTGAAGATCCAGTCTCTGCTTACTGCAGGGACGTTGGACYAGAAGGCCTTTAAAGGGTCTTCCAACCCCAACTATTCTGTGATTCTGTAACTAGTGCCTAGAGGTGATTTTACACCAATACACAGCCTAATGCAAGTATTGAGTCAGGTGAGTGTGCCACAGCATTTGGGGAATTATCTACAGTAGGGACATTTTAATGAATGTTTCCAAATGGCCGTTCCTGAATCCAATGTGAAGCAAAACTGTATCTGAATAAGAGGTCTCAATCAGATGGTTTAAGCTTGCTTGACTGAGACAAAAGCACGATCAGTGCATGGAATTAATTMTGCAGTGTTGGTAACCACGCAGGTTGTGCTGGCACTTACATGTGGAGTCAGATGTGGGAAATGCCTGAGACTGAAAGATAATTCTGCTGGTGTTTTGTCACAATTTAGAGCCATTTCTACAACCAWCTCTTAGTGCTTCCACAACAACTCAAATTTTTTATCTAAATACTTATTTATTTCTTCTGTTCAGCACTGCTTATTGCAAAGAAGAATAGAATAGTAAGTCCTCTCTGATACTCCGAACCAAGACAAGCCTTGGCTAATTTCCTATATCCAATTAACTTACACACATTTGCAGAAACACTTCCTAACATACTGAGAAACTTAAATCTTGGTTCTGATTGTAAAAACAGTTCCCTGTATTTTAACAAAATAATAAGACCAGRTAGTAAAACTGGGGTAAAATTATTTGGGGTAACAAGATTCTAGTTCCTCATGACCTGAAAGATCAGACTCTTAAAAAGTCAAATACTTCAGGCCCACTTAGTAAAACCAATGCACAAACCAACAAGTCGAGCAGGTTATGAAGTACGTGCAGTGACATGATAATAAGGAAAGAAAAAGGTTCTTGACTTTGATCTTGTAAATCTCTTCCAACCTAAATAATTCTGTGATTTTAATAACAACAATACAGTGGAGGCAGATAAGGACAGCCTCACTTCTAAATGTTTTAGCCTTCAAAACTGTTTTAACTTAAGCTCATGTCTTCTTGAAACATTACGTCAATTGTGAAACATTGGAGGAAATAACCTATACTTTTGTGATTCTGACTCAAAAGCAAGAATAAACACCACATCCAATACTGTATTGATTTCAATCATGGCATTGCACAAGATTTTTTTCTTTTTCACATTTTAATGTTGCTAAAACAGAAGTTTGGCAACAGTTCAATGCCCCACTAAAACATACAATAATGAACATGTACAATATCATAAAAAATGTACAGTAAAAGTTTAAAAAAACTACTGAGAAAACMATTTTTACACCGTTCTCTTCCTCTATATAAATGCTTGAGCCTAAATATGCACTAGAACGCCCTCCAAATAGATTTATAATTTTGAAGTATTCAATATTTACTTCTTTTAAGCTGTAATTTAATGCAGTAACTTTTTTTGAAGCTGAAAATTTTAACATTGCCACAGCAAAACTTCTAAAGCTTGAGAAAAGAAGGCAGAAAACCTTGTGTCGCTGCTTCTTCACCCTTTTTGGTGTCTTCATCTTCTATGCTTGGACTCTCACGTGATGAATTCTCCTGCTGAGAATTGTTGTTTTTCAACAGGGCAGGATCAATTTGTGCTTTCAAGAGCTCAAGGGTCTCAGCAAGCTCATTGCGGTTTCTAGAAGAGAAAAACACACTGTCTGATAAGCCACTTACCTCAAAAGCATTCATAAAAAAACAAGCAAACATTATCTGCTTAAATTAATTATCCTGAAAATCTTACAGAGTTATTTAGTGAAAATACAAGCACAGTGAAATGCTTGTCCCACTAGTAGGGCTGCAACTTCAAAGTCAGAAACCTCCTAATTTACCCATACCAAAACAAAATTATGCTTTTGGAAGGACCATACCTACCTGTCTATCTCAACTCAATTCCTATTGTGTCTGGTTGCTTCTACTATTATTSTGTTATTTAGTATCCTCTTGCTACGCATCAGTGATTATTCTCTGCTATTTCTTTTATTCTCTCAGCAGAGAGCAAGCTACAGCTCTCTGCTCATGCATGGAAGAAGTAATCACATCTTTTGAGTGAAACTTGCAAAAGCAACCAGCAAAATACTTWAGATACTTTTTGCAAGTGCCCATCCTAAGCACAAGCAACCAACAACACAAGTTGCCTAGAAAACTCCATCAACTCAAGTTATGACAAAAAAAATGTTAGTGCACAGTTGTACAAACGCGAATCTCAGTGCATTTTAATTCCTTATTTAAACTGCATATCCAATTATTAAAAAAAAAAACCTTTAATTTATAAAGAACTTGACCCATGAATGAACAGAGTTATTGTTTTCTTAATGGACTAAACTAATAAGGCTCTCACATCTGTTTTTCAAAGTCTGTGTTCAGCAACTTGTTTTCCCCAGGTTYACAGAAAAAAAAGGAAGCCTGCAACAATCCAAATATATGGAACCTCAGGGATTTCAAAACCATTTCAGATTTCTCAATGCACAACTGTGTTTTTCTGCTGTCAATGTGGAGTGTTAGAATCTTCCCAGCAGAACTCTGATTTCTTCCTCTTTTGGCAATGAATTTTGGAGTCTATAATGCATGGAAGAGATGGATGACACATGGAACTGTTTGTTTGGATACAATTACTTTATTCCCCCACAACAGCTGTCTAGATGTAACTCATAGTAATGCTTATAATTTTATGGCCCGTTGACAGTGGTTTAAACACTTCTGTATGACTCCCTCAGTTACTGAAGTTATGGCGTTGCAARTAATCTGCAGATTATTTGGGTTGGAAGGGACCTTCAAAGATCATCTATTTCCAGCTTCCCTGCTATGGGCAGGGACATCTTCCACAAGACCAAGTTGCTAAAAGCTCTATCAAATCTGGCCTCAAACACTTCCTGGAATGGGRCASCCACAGTTTCTCTGAGYAAYCTGTGCTACTGCCTCACCACTCTCACAGAGAAGAATTTCTCCCTAATATCGAATYTTAACCTGGCCTCTGTCAGTTTGAAGCCATTCCTCCTTGTCCTGTCACTACACACATCTGTAACAAATCCCTCTCCCYTTTTCCTGATCCCCTTTAGGTACTAGAAAGGGCTCTGAGTTTTCCCTGGAKCCTTTTCTTCTCCAGGCTRAACAATCCCAAGTCTCTCAGCCTGTCTTCARYMGGAGAGGTGCTTCAGYCCTCTGATCATCTCCTTGGCCTCCTCTGGATTCCTTCCMACAGGAGTAATTGCAATATAATTTCTCCAAGAGCAAATGTGTCCACTTGTAACTTTCCTAATAAAGCTGAAGCTAAAGAAGMAAGAGTGTTCTATTTTCTAAGGCATTTAGCTGGCCAGTAAGCAATATGGAGCCATCATCCTCAAGTCAGTCTCCTTGGCACCCTTTCTGTATATTCATTGTAGTTTGAACAAGCAAGAAACAAATTATGTGATGGCTGTTACCAACAAATCTGTGAGTTACTTCTGTACGTGATTTTTCACTAGAACATAGATGTCAGTGCAGGAAATCCCACTGTCAATAATCTTACTGTGTAAGAAATGAAGGTTTATTGAATTACATTTCTGAGCCCCAATCACAAATAGCTAAAAATCCTACAAAATAAAAAGAAGGAATACCTAACAATGCACTTCCATGTGGATCCATCCTGGTCATCCTGTTCTTCTATGTACATCCTGACATTATGCTCTTGATCCAGYTGATACCAGTACATGAGGCCATCCTTGTCCCGACCAATGGGCTGCAGGCGCATGGCATCAGCATCCTCCTCGTTAATGATATTCTTAAACTTTAGATTGTCATCAAACTGACATTCACAGAGATACTGAAAAAGTAAGAAAATAGAAAGACTGTTAAGATGTCAAAAATATAAACAGAAAGAAAATCAGTTCATTTCATTTCAGCGTGATTCAGAACTTCTTTTTAGACCTCTCTCTACTGCATCTGTATGTCAGCTGTAGCTACCAGTTTYTTCCAGACTATGYTGTCTTTAAATGAGATAYAAGGTTTTGGTTTGKTTTTGTTTTTTCTCAACTTGGCTAGCTTAGAAAGCTTTTTCTATATTTTTATTACATAGTACAAATGGTTTCATTCCACAGTAGAGCCCATACGTAACTTGTAACCAACCCTGACAATTTCATCAAGCCCAAAAAAGATGTCGTCCCATTTTGCCCTTGGAATTCAGCAAGGTAACAAATACATTTAGAAGTGTGTATTGCACAGGCAAAAAGCTCTTGACAAAACAGTAAGCACAAGATTATTTTCATATAAAGTGTGAAAAAAATGCAAACAAATGTTACATGCYGTTTGGGTCCATCCCACTACAATGAATAGCATAATGTATATACCAAAATCAGCTCTATATTTAATATATGCACTATGGTTCTGTCAAGCTAAATTTGCAAGACCTTAAAGTGAGTGAGGAAGCAGTAATTTAAAACCTTAGCTGATGAATGTGTACCTTCAGAATCCCCAGTTTGCATTCAACACTCATTTCTAGGTATCCTTTTTTTTCCATCTCCCAAGCCCAAGTGCTGTTGAATTCTTGACATATCTGTTACAAACAAAATAAGCAGATTTCTAAGATTAGGAGAAAAAAGAAACTTTAAACTTTTTTATTAATAGTACCTTACTACAATAATTATACATGATCTCTTTGTGATTGCAGTCAGAAAATCTTAAACAAAAATAAAAAGTAAACCCGAGGCACGTTAGCAAGCACTGATGAATTTTCATGGAAGAGCAGTTCAYCAAGGTCTTGATCACCACCACATTCTCTGCCCAAATTAGGCAGTTGACTCTGGAATGGGAAGGTATTGTTGTCGTTGCTGTGCACATCTCACATTTTCTATTTCTGTCTATTTAGAATATAAATTCTCTCAAGCAGACATGACTTCCTATTCTATCTCCTTACAGCACTTAGCACATAAGTTGCCACGGTATCTTGGGGCCCCTAAGTCCTTCAACCGTACTGCAGAYAACAAATACAACTGCTACTCGCTCCACGCTGTGGAATTATTACTCTTTACAAAATACCTTGGGCTTCAAGCTGTTTGACAATTTTTTAAAATATTGTAAGTATAGCCAATTTCAATTTATTTAAAGCAAATAAATTCTACCACACCAATATGGGGGAATAAAAACCTAATACCAGAAAAAAACAGCAGTAGARGAGAAACAGATTGGATCAGCACGAGCTCCAACAATAACAGTGGAGAAGAAATTCTCTCTCCTAAACAACTCAGACGTGAACTCAGACAACTTAAGGCAAATCTCATGAACAGAGACAAGCTGCTCATCAATTGAGGACACACGGTGGGACTCCAGTCARTGAGGCTATTTCAGTGGAAATACCCATGAGGAGGCAAAAGCTGATGTCAGATACACCTCCAGTTGGAATTATTTTTAAAAGCCACTGCTGAATCACAACTGTCAAATMAGTGCATCTAGTGCTGCTGCCCTTCAGTCTGAAAGGCTGGACTCAATCAAAACAGTGCAGTTTCCCAATCAACGAATTATTATTAACCATATAATACAGTTACCAAGTTACTTTGAAACATGTTAATCACATCTGGAAGAAGATTTCTYTGTAAACAGCAGCAAAAATAATCTTAAATTTCACCCACCAGAAGTACAAATCAACTGATTCATAATGTAAAACCCTACCTGGGCTATAACCAAGCAAAGGGRCCACTACCTCTCCACTGTCCCACAACCATACTACCAGCCCTCCACTCTCCCTAGAACTGATACCATTTCTTGGGTGGCACAAAGGTAAGCCTGCAGTCAGGCCAGCTCAGCCACCTCATAAATCATACTCTGATTTGAAGCTGTGACCTACAGAGAACAGTGAAGAACACAGGTCACAAGGGATCTTGCTGAAGAGCAGTTTTTCCTGCTCTGAGGTTAAGGAGTGTTACACTGGGACTTCTCTTACGCCAAGCCAAAGCTCACAGCAGGAGACAATCGCTGCTCACTCACAAAATAAGGCTACTCCAACTTCTCTCTCCTTTTCAACCACGTAATGTGAAGTACACTGGGAAACTGTATCAAAACCCTTGCTCAGGGCATATGCTAGTTGCTGTTCATTGCTTACTCATTAAGTCTGAGAGCAATAAAGAGAAGCTTCATGTGCTACAGAAGTCTGTGACTGTCAAAGCATAAGCTTTGAGACATCAGAGTTGATGAAGCATCTGTTCAAACTGACATGACTACATTTTGACAATTAAAAACCAGATAATTGTGCTTTCTCCTGACAAGTACTGTCACAACCCTGAACTACAGATCTCATTAATCCAGGCTCTGCTGAAATCTYAGTCTCTGCCTTCCCAGAGAGTATGCTTCACACTGATCAAAAAGTTGCTGCTTGCATGAACTGCTAACTTCTGCAGGCTAAGAGTGGTYAGCACCTTCCCATCCTGCAAGAAATGCTGAAACAAGTCTCTCTCAAATAATTCCAAAGCAGTTATGATGGCATACAACGCTATTACCATGTTCCAAATGTCCACTTTAAACAAGGAACACAGGAAGGTGACAGACAGAGCAGAGCAGTCTCCTCAGGTGGGACTACAGACACCTGAATTCTAACAATGAGAAAAGACAAACRTGTTTAGAATGTTCTGATTTTGGTGTGGAGGTTTCAGATGGACCAGTGAAGAGAAAAGTCTGTAAAAAAATGTTGTTAGGGTTGACAACAGTCAAGTAAAACACTTTGCCAGGAGACAGTGCAGTGTGACCWAACTACATGTTTCTCAAAATCAGCTAAGCTGGACAGTTCCTCTGTCCAATTCCTGTTGTAATATTTAGGACCAGGCATTTATGGTCGATTATGTCAGCCACACACAACCGCAAAACGTTCCTTGTGAGGAGGGAAGTCAGACTCACAGACATCTACAGCCATTTTCTTTCATAAAAGACTAGTGAACACACTGCTTCACCACGAGAAGAGGGAAGGGAAAGAACTCTCAACAACCATGTTCAGTCTTCCTATCACAAAATATATTCATTGGTCAAAATACCAGCCACAGCTTAGAGGCTATTTTTATGATATTCTTTTTATGATACTCTTTTATGATACTGTAAGCACAACAGCCAAGTGAAGTATATTTTATAATCAGCTGGTATATAAATGAAATATGATAATACATACATACATAATACTAAGAGCATGTAAGTCTGAAAGTCGTCCACTAGAATTTCTGCCTAAATAAGAACATCTAGAATATMTTAAACTGTGTTCTATAAAAGCATCAACATCAGTAGTTTCCAACAAAGGAAAAACAAATCAACTTTGCCTCTTAGAGTGTCATCCGTAATACGTAGAACAATACCACAGGCATCAAGAAAGAACACCCTCAGTGGTTCCACACCTATTCAGTTTTTCCTGGCTTGTGGCATTTCCCAATACTCTTCCTTGCTTTTCTAAATTAATCATACTCCTTTGAAATGGGGGCAATATTAGCATACCTTTCTAATTAGTTATATTCTAATTCCTTTGTTCTTCAAGGTTCCTTTGAACAACTGGCCAGAATAAGCTTCAAGTTAGCTCTGGAGACTGTTAAATGAAGTAGAATTTATTAACACTTACTTGGTCTTAACAGGGGTGTGAGGGAGGGATTCCTTACTGCTTCCCTGAAGAAGAATTTCCAAACTGCTTTGAAGAAGATTTTCCAAACTACTCCCTCAACTTGTTTTATCGCCCTGCTTTCTGCTTACCACACAACTGGTAAGTGGCTCCAGTGGGGTACATACGAGTCAGAGCTGGGTTTTCTCAGTTTGCTGCAATGGTTTTGGGTTTATTAAGGAATTTAATATAATTCAGTGACTACAGTACTTGATAATACACAAAATACACACAAGTTACAAAAATTATTACATTACTATTTTTTAAAATTATCATCAATACTTTACAAGCGGTTAAGGGGTTAGAATTAACAAAGGTCCTCCAGCAGGTTATTCCCTAACACATTCCTAGCCCTAAAAATATCATCATCTTAACGGCTACACAACCCTCAAGACAAACTCCTATCTCTGTAAAGCTTACAGACAGCACTTAAGGGGGACAAGTGCAGCTGAATTTGCCAAGTGCCAATATTTGTATGGTTGCTACTACCATGATGTTGTATTTCTAAGCAAGATGTGGTCACAGCTGTACAGACAATARCAAGATTACAATTCTGTGGATTAAAAGACACATGGAACATATCCAGAGGGGAAATGGCAAACTATTAATTTTGACAATCCATATATTTTTGTTTTTGAAGCAGTGTAAATTATTTGAATTGGAAACTATTTGCATGTAAAGTGTCAATAAAGACATAGCTGCAATTAAAATACCAAGACAGAATTATGTAAAACAATGGGATACTCTATTTTTACTGATGCATAACTATATTTTCATCTTAGCTGTGCCAYTCTGAGCATGCAGATATATATCACTGCAATACTTTCTTTTATTATTAACACACATTACAAGAACTCAGTATGGTTCCTGCATGAATATCAACCAAACCACAGTAATTAAATCATATCCAGGCAAGTGTTATACAAATGAATTGTTACTTATAAATCTCTGCTTAATTTAATCCATTTGCAGGCTACTAAATCTTTATTCAGGGTCTTAATACTCAAGAAACCRTTTTCCTACCGATTATGAAGGTGGACACTCCTTCATATGCAGAAGATGGTGCCTATTTTCAGACTTTTTTCCCCACAATCCTAGGCAGCCTGCAAGTTAAGCTGGGATGTGATGCACACATGTTGATGCTGCACAGCCTAAGGCTCACTATAACTCATACYAAGGATTGCTCACACAACTGCTCATCACAACCATATTCCAGCATTGCAGAATAATACAATGTGTATATTGTACCTTGATCAAGTATTTTTCCCATCTGTCTGCTGTGACAGACTTCCCAATCTTTCTCATCAGTTTCAAGTGAAGCTCCACCAGTTCTTTTGGGACTGCAGCATTGAGAGAAAAAGAAAAATAAAAAAGAAGTCGTTAAGTCTGGTGTAAATATTCTTCTATGTTWAACACTGATAACTGAAAAACTGTGACAAATTAAGACATTTTAATAAAACAGAAACTTCAAGCCTGCTGAAGAGCAGCCCTGCAACTGAGAGATAGAGGAAGGTTAATTTAATCATGYGTCTTTTTGTTTAGAATTACATTTAGGATACTCATCGTCCTTCAATTCAAGGATATAGACCTCAGTGATAAACATGGGAAAATTCTGGAAGTGTTAAAACCACAACTGGGCAGGTGTTACTCCACTCAAACACCTAGAAAAATACTACTGCAAGCAGCACACATATAGCTGCCTCCAGRAACCCAAAGCCATATTCTGCACCTTGCCTGGAATATCACTGGATACAAACTATTTTTCACTGGGCGCATAGTATGGGAGGCATGTTCTTGAAACTTTGTTCCCACAGATGTAACTTTGCCATCCACTTACTCTCCCTTGTACTGGAGGGACAGGGAGGTACTCCAGATACGGGGCTTGAGGAATGGAGGCCAGGAGTGATGCTGAGCACAGCAGCACCAAGGCTGTCACAAAATCAGTCCTCCAACCAAATTTATGTATCCCTTAGTGTACACTCCTCAGAAACGACTTCAACAGCTTRTCTTAGCTCACATTTGTGACTTACAAATCAATTTGGCACCACCAAGTGGCAAATATGCAGAACATTGATTTTATAAGTTAACRAGTAGCGTAACTTCTAAAAAATATGTAACTGGTAATTATTAATGCAATTCTACATGTTCAGTGATCTCAGCTTTTTCATTTGTAATTTGTTGAAAAAAGCTTTAAAAATTAACTTTAAGATATTTTTATCTACTCTTTGCATATAATTTTATGTTCTAAAGGCATTTTCATTATTCTGTGCACACACATGTTGACAGCTTTAAGCCSAAGAATTTTTATTCTCATCATTTATGATTATGATTTTTCTGCTGGTCCAGTAGCATTATTTGACACCGGATGAACAACTGGGAAATCAAATGTGTTCATTCTAAATTAGATATCAYTGACATTTCTTTATTTTACTCATTTATACAACATTATCTGTGTGAATCTAATATTTAATTTGAATTCACCCAACCTTTGTTTGTCTTTCAATCAAATGCCTCCATTTACAGGTGAACATAGTGAATTGCTAAAAAATAATTTTCATGAAAATGTTTCAGAAATAAAGAAATTTCATACACAAACGCCTTCAAAAAAAAATATATAGAAAGCACCAGCCTGGCACTCTCAGAGGCCTCTTTTCCGTATGGATAATTCATAAGCAAAAAATCCTGACTTGTTCTGTTACTCCACTTGTATATAGTATTTCCATTACTATTACATATTGAAGACACCTTGCTTTTCCAGAAAACTGATGCTTTTCATGATTTTGAACKAAGACCTATTTTAAAAGGAACAACATCAAAGGTCTTAACCCCTATAAGTGCYAAGCATCTGGTACTAACAAAATTAAGCACAAAGCACTTTATGCACATGAGCAATTCTATCTACCTTAARTCATACAATTAAACCTCTTCTTGTGTTCGTGTGACATGGAACTGAGTCACAGTATTCAAAATCTTGCTGAATCAAAGCTTTTGTTCAGCATATTTTTTTGTTTGTTTGTAATCAGACTTCTTTTTATGGATACATACTGATAGGAATTCTAGTTCAAAGAAGCACAGGTGATGTGTTTCAAATAATCAAATTCCTAGTCACAACAAAAATCTCTGCTAGAGCTTTACTGTTAGAAAAAATGGASAACATAAACCATTTTAAAAATTGGGGTAATATGCGCACCCTTGGGTCAGTGCTTCCCGTGAGTTGTGTTAGTACCTACAGAAACCTCATTTTTCTCAGTTTCAGCATTTCAGCTCTTGTATTTCTAGGATCTTTATGATGTATCAATGTGATTACTTTTATAAACTTCACAAAACTTCATATCCATTCTCTGTTTATACCCTTTCAAGATGCTTTTCACGTTAACACACATTATTAATGATCGGATTTCTAGGCTGGCTTTTCTCATCTTCCTTTTGCTGACAGGAATCACACAGATACCTCCTGGTGCAATGAAAGAGGCAGGAGGTTTGGAGAAGAAAACTGACGTCTAGTTTGCTCTCTAGAGTGTGTGTGAAGTGTAGCCTGACCAGCCAGGTGCCCRAAAGACCACAGCAACAGAGGCCTACAGGACTGAGAAACAAACTCTTTATTAAATCCAAAGTAACTGTAAATAATACAGGGATCAGRATGTACACCTGACTTGCCCAAAAGCACCAGCTAATAGAGATGATCTAGGAAGGTCAAAGAGTTGTGGCAAATCTCTCCTTTCCCAAAGGAAAAGGAAAGCACTTCCTGGCAAGGAGTAAAAGTGCACTAGTAAACATAACAAACACTTCAATCCTTTCAGAAATGCATTGAACCTGCATAACTTTAAATWAACTTACTTTTGTTCACACTAGAGAGACAATTCTTAACAAGAGTTCATTGAATTGGGACACATCACTAAGGATCTTTTTTACAACACTGTTCTATCCTACATGTAACATACCAAAGAAAATGAACATGACAATTATTTTCCATTGTGTTGCTGGTTGGTTTCAGCAAATAACAACAATAGATTATAATCTCCTTTGCAAAATTTCATCTCCATTCATGTAGGACCTACATCATTCATTTCAAGAAGTTGTATCCCCGTAAGGGAAGGAACAATACATAGCATCCTTCTTGCATAATTGCCATTGTGTGTAAGGTTCTGGCCAAAGAAGTGGAATGGAAAAAACCCCAAAACCTCTAAACCTGAATTATATTCTCAAATTTTTATGAAACTTTGATCTCTCTGGAAAGTAGTATGAGAGCTCTCTAAAACCTTTACAGAATATACTTCAGCAGGAGAGAAAACATCAGGACCGTGTTCAGGGCTAACAGAATTTATACAGCACTATTGTAAAAAAAGAACTATATCAGAATTGACCATAATTAAAGCACMGTGCATTCTGCTAGATACTCAAAAATATATACGTTTCATAGAAGGAAATCATAAGCCAGGAAGAATGAGTCACTGTATATACCATTATAACATTTCTGGTGAAGCTCAACCCATTTGTTAAGTCCTACACTTCCCTGGAGGGAGGCTGTCATCTAGGCCTCACACAATATCCTTTGAACACTATTCTGTGTACTCCAGCATTTCAGGGAGCATCCTATACGTCAGTCACACATCCAATAAATTTGAAAACAACAGAATAATTGAAACAGAAAACATACAAACATATGAAAACCCCATMATCTGGCTAGAAAAACTGTAACTTTCAAACACCTACACAACCACAGATTAAAGACAATTTCTCATGTAACCATAACCCCATTTCACCCCTATTTATTTTCCCTGCCAAAATGAAAATGCTCACRACTCACCAACAAAAGCCTGAAATAGAGGATGAAAACAGAAAACACACATGACAAAGTCCTGAATCCAGAGGGAGGATGGGTAAATCTGTTATTTTAAAAATTATTATTAATAAAAAACCCTTGGTATCAGAGCAGATCTGGAGTGCTAGATACAGAGAAGAGGATCAGAACCATGACGAACACAGAGCACCTGATACTGATACAGACTGCAAAGCCTGTGCCTCCTGTYCTTCAGGGACCCAGGAAGAGAACACTGAACACTTAATGCTGGGGGGACCTGGGGTGAAGGGAACAAAAAATAWAACTCTGGGATGCAAAGGCTGCTGGCAGTTTTCATGCTTCACGAACACAAACAGGTCTTCCCAGTTACACTAGTAAACCATTTTCCATGCTAACTTGTTTTGGCAAGCAGAGGAAATAAAATGACTCATAAGACATACATGGCAAATATTTCCATTAGTTGAATGTTCTTTTTCACCTTTCTGCCTTCACCAAAATTACCACTGCATGCTATGGCTGCACTGTCAAATAACACCACRCTGAGCAAGTGGACGGTGGAGATTGATGAGACCATTAATGATCTCCAACCTCCTTTTTGCTAAGGGAAGGTGGCTCTCAGCAACCTGTACACAACTGATGAGGATTAGTAACTGGCACACTGCACAGCTTAATGGCAAATATGAGATGGTTTCCACCCTGTTCAAATCGCTCTRCTGTGAGTGCTGGAGGGAGCTGTGCTGGAGGCACAGACAAAGGCAAGAGCATCTCCTCAGACATCAGTAAAGAGTCAGTCATGGTCAGTGAGGAACAGGCTACAGAGAGAAGCCGTGGATGCCCCACCCCTGCAAGCGTTCAAGGCCAAGTTGGATGGRGCTTGGAGCAGCCTGGTTTAGTGGAAGGTGCCCTTGACAATAGCAGGGTGGTTGGAATGATCTTCAGGGTCCCTTCCAACCCAAACCACTCTATGATAATTTACCACTTAGCCCATCACACACTAACCATGCAGTTAATTCCTTACACAAACAGGTCCTTAGGCATATATTTGCTTGAAACCAGTCCACTTAGCCCATCACACACTAACCATGCAGTTAATTCCCTACACAAACAGATCCTTAGGCATATATTTGCTTGAAACCAGTCAGCAGTATACCTTACAAAAGGCACAAATGTACCAAACAGACATGTGATTGCATTTCCAGCATCTTTAATACTCTCTTCCAACTCTGTGCGAAGTCTGAAGTCCCATGAGCAGTCTGAAGCACCACACATCTTCTAGATTAGTTTCAACCAAAGAGAAATTCCTCATCTGTTTCATTAAACAACTAGCAAATGCTGGGGAAAAGAGTGGAAATAGTATATCTCCTTTGGCACCAGCACTGGTTTATGATAACATAAATATTCTTCTCAAAGAACTATCTAACTTGTTTCTTATTTTAACTCGGTACAAGGAAAACGTGAGATCCTTTTAGTTGGTATGTGTTATGAAGTTTATAGATCACAGAGAAAAATGGCAGCCCTGGTAGGAACTTGGCATGATTT